GGCTAGAACTGAGGGCTAGGCTCTGTCCTTGAGCTTTGTTGCTCATGGATAGTGCTCTACTACTTGAACCACAGCATTATTTCCAGCTTTTTGGTGATTAGTTGGAGAAAAGTGCTAGAGACTTTCCTGCCTGGGCTGGCTTCAAACTGCTATTTTCTGATCTCAGCCTCCTGAGTATAGGATTACAAGGGTGAGCTACCAGGTCCTGGCCTGACCTTTTTAAATTAGGGGAAAATTTTTCAGAATTGAAAATGTTTGTTGATTTAAGATTGGTTGGAATATGACTTTCCTAAAAATATTAAAGCTAGTGTTCTTTTTGCCCCTTCATTTAGTCATTTAATAACTCTAACTTTTTCTAACAGTTTATCCAGTTGTAAAATCATTGTAAAGATTACTAGCTGTGAGTATGAGATACATTCAAAATGATAAACTAGCCAGGTGCTGGTGGCTCAACCTTTAACCCAGCTCTTCAAGAGGCATAATTTCTGAGAATCATGGTTTGAAACCAGCCCAGGAGGAAAGTCCACGACAGTCTTATCTCCAAATTAATTAAGCAGCAAAAAGGCAGAAGTAAATTTGTGGCTCAAATTGTTGGGTACTAGCCATGAGTGAAAAAGCAAAGGGAGAGTACCCAGGCCCTGAGTTCAGTCCAACTTCTGGCGCACACACACACATACACACACACACACCCTACACACACACACACACACCCTACACAAAGCAAAAACAGTATGAAGAGTAAGGACGGTTTCTTTCTGGGAATGAATTATTATGGCTCTGTCTTGTATACCTTGAAATGATGGATTTAATGAAGTGTATGTCAAGAAATGAGTTTAAAAACGCAATCTACTTCCCATGATGAAACTCCACCCTGTCTCCTACTGTATACTCCTTTCCTGTTCTCCATTTGCCACCACCCACTCTCCCTCCAGCTGTGCCTCCGGTCACCCTGCAGTTGGGCACAGGCCACTGTAGTTTCAAGGGCGGCTCACTGCGCACGTGCAAATGCCCATCTTGCAGGCTGGAAGGGGTACCAGAAAGAGATTTTTCTCAAACTGTTCCTTGGTTGGGAATTGAAGAAGGCAGCACTCACCAACCGAGTGGGCAATCATTTTGTATTTAATCGCTTCAGATGTTTGACTATATCTACCCAGAAGCTTTGGTTTCTCTGCTTGGAAAGCCAGATTGGACATGTAGGGGTACTTGCGATCTTTGAGGACTTTAAGAGACTCAGGCCTCCAGTGGAGGCCTTGAACCTTTGCATTGCTTGAACCTTGCCCATTGCTGCCTCACTAAGAGGAATAATGATACTGGACTTGTGTATTTGAAGGTTGATTGAAGTAGCACATCTTGCTGCCCTGTGCATGGCTATTAAGTCAATAAATGGTCAATTATGGTCAGGCTATGTTTTGGGTGGACTTCAGATTGCTGTAGTTCACTTGTAGAGGCCCAGGATAATCATGAGCCCTTGGCTCTTCTGGGGGTAGATTTCCTCCTTGTGATGCATTTGCCTTTCCCACTTGTAATCTTAGATAACTCATGCCTGTTGAAGTTGTACTAACTCTTATTTGTATGTGTGCGCATGTGTGTGCGTGTGCGTGTGCGTGCGTGTGTGTGTGTGTGTGTGTGTGTGTGTGTGTGTCTGTGATGTGTGCTAGTACTGGGGTGAGAACTCAGGCCAGATATATTTCTCTTAGCTTTTCCTCTCAGTGCTACTGTTCTACAATATGAGCCTGAGCTCCCCTTTCTGCTCTTTGCTGTTTAATTTGCAATGAGAGTGTGATTTTTTTTTGTCAGTGGTAGGGCTTGAACTCAGGGCCTGGGCACTTTCCCTGAGCTTTTGTCCTCAAGGTTCTACCATTTTTGAATCAGCTCCACTTTCAGTTTTCTGGTAGTTAATTGGAGATGAGTCTCACAGATTTTCCTGACCAGTCTGGCTTTGAGCCATGATCCTCAGATGTCAGCTTCCTGAGTAATAGGTATGAACCTCCAGTATCCAGTTACAGGTATGAACCTCCAGTACCCAGTGGATGTGACTTTTTTGTCTACCATTGCTGCCTTAAAAATCTCCATCCTCAGATCTCAGTCTCTTGAATAGCTAGGATTACAAGCAGGAGCCACCATTGTCTGCTGTCAAAATGTTTTTGTTGTTGTTGTTGTTGGTCATGGAGCTTAAACTCAGGGCCTAGGTGTTGTCCCTGAGCTTTTTTGCTCAAGGCTAGCACTCTACCACTTTGAGCCACAGCATCACTTCCATGTTTTTTATTTTTATTTTTTTGCTATTCCTAAATGAGCTTGAACTCTAGGCCTATACACTGTCTCTGAGCTTTTGTGCTCAAGGCTAGCACTCTTAGCATTTGATCCACTGCTCCACTCTCTACGTTGTGTGGTTAATTAGAGATTAAAAGTCTCCCAGACTTTCTTGCCTGGGCTGGCTTCAAGCCATGATCCTCAGATCTCAGCCTCCAGAGTAGCTAGGATAACAGGCATGAGCCACCAGCACCTGGCTGAAAGTGTGGTTTTTTTTTGTTATTTATCATGACCAGTATGGTATTGCCCAATTTATTGGGAGGATAGTAGAGGCTGCACATTACACACACCAGCTCACCTAGGTTAGGCATGCACTGTACACTCCAGTCCTATCTAAAAACTGTAAAATTATAAAATGTTCGCTTGGCTTCAAAAGGACGAATGTCCTAGGATAGGTCAAAAACATTTTGAGGAAGACCATCTTAACCAAAAGTGTCAAAGGAAAATACAAACAACCTACAATCCAGTGTTTTCTGAGTCTAATCAGCAGTGGTCCCAGAAACAATTAATTCCCATTTGTCAGCCACCTTAGGTCTCCTGACAGCACCCCATCCCTTTCCCCTGCTGTCCTCATCTGTGTCTTCTGTGCCCCTGATCTCTGCTGCATTCAGGAGCAGCTGCTGGGGCTTCCTGAAGTATCCAGAAACTGTGTTCTCATCATCACACTTACTGTTTGTGAAATGCTTCTTCCTGAAAGTGTTTATTTTTCCCCTGAGATATTGGCTTCCATTTCTCAGGTCAACCTAGATCTATCTTCTGCCACTTTTTAACATTTTCTAAATCTTATTCTTTGAACCCCCTATCTTAGATTTTATGTCTTATTTCTGACACTTAGTCAATCCATGATTCTTGTAATAGTCTTATGTGATTTCTCCTTTTTGGCCTTTCTACTCCTGGACCATGTTAATTCATTTGTCCTTAATTCTTCTCCTTACCTTTACCCTGGTAACTGTCCAAAGTTCATTTTTTTGTTATTTTTTAATTGTGAAAATACTGTACAGAGGGATTACACTTACATGGGCAAGATAATGAGTACATTTCTTATCAAGCATTGTAGCCTCCTCCTTTGTTTCCCCTTCCCATCCCTTTCCATCCTCCCCCTGCCCCCTCCCCCAAATCCTCCCCCTCCTCACCAAAGTTGTAAAGTTCGTTTTTCGACATAACAGCTTGTACTTCTCATTGTTGCAATGGGTCCACCTGTATCACTATTTAAACAATTTGTTTTTTCCCTTCCCCTCCACAAATTATACCAACATCAAATCGGTGGGGGAGGGACATACAAAGCAACAAAGAAATAATCTTATAAATATGTTAGAAACAATTGCATGAAAGAAAAAAAAACATTTGAATACATATCTTAGGGTTCATTTCCCTAACATCACCTTATCTGACCTTTTCTGCTTGACTCAGACATACACTAGTTATTGCAAATAAGGGAAACCATGGACCTATGTTTCTTTGGGCCTGGCTTACTTCACTTACTATAATTTTTTCCAAGTCTTTCCATTTCCTAACAAATGGGGCAATGGACACATGAAGAAATGCTCAACTTCTCTAGCCATAAAAGAAATGCAAATCAAAACAACATAGATATACCACCTCACCCCAGTTAGAATGGCTATAATCAAGAAATCTAACAACAACTTCTGGAGGGGATGTGGACAGAAGGGAACCTTACTGCATTGTTGGTGGGAGTGTAAACTTGTTCAACCACTTTGGAAAGCAGTATGGAGGTTCCTCAAAAGATTCCACATAGTGTTCCCCTAGGATCCAGCAATCCCACTTTTGGGCATTTACCCAAATGATCACAAACAAGACCACACTAAAGCTACCAGCATGACTATGTTTATTGCAGCATTATTTACCATAGCTAAGATATGGAACCAACCCAGATGCCCCTCAGTAGATGAATGGATCAAGAAAATGTGGTATATATACAAAATGGAATTCTATGCTTCCGTCAGAAAGAATGACATTGCCCCATTTGTTAGGAAATGCAAAGTTCAGTTTCTTTTTCCAGTGCAGTGTTTGATTTCTACCTCTATCCCAAAACAACTCAAACTTTGGCAGTGTCTTAGAACTCAAATGGCTTCTTTATTAATGATATATAAATAAATTCCATTACTTTTAAATTTTCTTTTATTAAGGTTTAAATACATCACACTAGAGGAATTTTTATCTATCAATACCTATGTATGTAGATCAATATATCTCTTTGTACATCTATATTAATGTCTATATGTTCTTCAAATGTATATGGGAAAACATTTGTTACTCTATGTACACACAATGGTAGCAGCCTTTACATTGTATAGCCTTAGTATCAAGAAACTTCCATATCTTTTTGCATCTGAACAAAAAACTACAATTTCCCCAAAGCAGTGTGTTGGGCAGCATTCTCATACTATTTCTGAGCCCACTTTTTCATGGCTTCATGCTCTGGCCTTTGTTCCTTGGTGATGGGATTTGATACTACTGGCCCAGGAATTTCCTCCATGGAATTGGTTGGTAGCTGAAATCTTGGAGTACATACTAGTTTTGAAGCTTAGGCATTGACTAGAGATTGGTCCCAGCAGTTGAAACAGGCTTGTGCGGGAGAGAAGTGGAAGATGATGTTTTGTAGGGTGCAGGCCTAGCAGCAGCAGCCTGGGACTCACTAGGATGGGGAACATTAGTTAATCCCTGTGTGTTCATATTGACTGCAATGTTTTAGTAGAACTCATGAAATGTGTTGGTAGTAGCTGGTTGAGATAGGCTGACTGCAGCAGGTTGAGTTGTGTTAGAACGAGGTCATGCAGGGTAAGGTACGGTGGGAGGGACCAACTTGACCTTCCCAGGTGGAGGTGGCTCTTCCTGGGATGGTGATTGACACTGGTTTTTACTCTATCCCTTTTCCTGACTTGAATAATTTTAGAACTTTTGCTTTCATATGGAATACCCACACATAATTTCATAGCTGGGGAAAACTTGGTTTCTTGTGTGCTGCTGGCATTTCTCAAGGCCTTGGGGGAAGGCAGCTCCTTTTTCTTCTCATTTTTCTTCCCTAGGGCATGGAAAACCTGCACTGACTCCCACATCTGCATGCCTAGGTTGGTTCGAGGCCTTTTGAAGGTCTCTTGGCTAAGCTCAGGGTGACTTCTCTTGTGCTTGGTCTTGGGAATGCTTGTCTTTTCTTCTTTTTTGATTTTGTTCCCTGGCTGCTTGGTTTCATCACATTTCTTGGGGTGGTTCTCCCTGATCCTTTTGGTCTCTTTCTGTGCATGGCTCTTAGTTTTGCTGACCCTGCTGGATGCAGCTTTTGGAGATTTGCTGTCAGAATGCTTGTCTGTGTTCACGGAAGCCTGGTCACTGGATGGGGTGGTGCACACAGTCACCTCTTCCTCCAGCAGGAGCTCACTGTTTCTGGAGCTTGAACTCAAAAGACTTTTTTCTTTGGTTGCATTTTTTTTAAGGATAGTGCATTACCACTTCACCTATGCTTATAACTTCAGTATTGTTTGTGAACTAAAGAAAGATGCTCAAAAAGTTTCTGTGCAGCTGGGTGCCAGTGGTTCATGCCTGTAAGCCTAGGTACTCAGGAGGCTGAGATCTAAGGCTCACGGTTCAGAGCCAGCCCAGGCAGGAAAGTCTATGAGACTCTTATATCCAATTTACCATCAGAAAACTGAAAGTGGCACTGTGGCTCACATGGTAGAGTGATAGCCTTGAGCTGAAGAGCTCAGGGACAGCACCCAGGCCTAAGTTCAAGCCCCATGACTGACAAAAAAAGTTTCTGTGCTGATTTTGAACTCAATCCTTAGATCTCAGTCACCTAGGTTGCTAGGCCATAGGCCTAAGCCATCAGTGCCCAGCTCAAGAGAGAATTTCCCGTTCATAAAATACACAAAATATATATCTTCACTATGGTCTTTGAACAAAAGAAAATTAAGAAAAAATTATGTGTTATTACCACAAATATTTTAAAAAGTATTTTCTACAAAGGTAGACAAAAATGACATGTGTAATTAAAAATAAAAAGATATTAAAGAAGATTTGCACATGTGTCAAGCATCTAAGCATTGTACATTTATGGTAAATGAAGTTATATGATCATATACAGAATATTCTGAAAATGAAATGAACCATTTCAGTTTAGTAAAATCCAGCACAGAAGTAGAAGGTAATTTTGAATTAAGAATTGTGGTTGGGTGCCAATGGCTCACGCCTGTAATCCTAGCTACTTAGGAGGCTGAGATCTGAGGATCGCGGCTCAAAGCCAGCCCAGGCAGGAAAGTCTGTGAGACTCTTATCTCCAATAAACCACCAGAAAACCGGAAGTGGCACTGTAGCTCAAGTGGTAGAGTGCTAGCCTTGAGCTGAAGAGCTGAGGGACAGTGACCAGGCCCAGAGTTCAAGCCCCACGACAGACAAAAAAAAAAAAAAAAGAATTGTGTGTCCCTGTCCTGGGACTTGAACTTAGAGCCTGAGTGTTCTTGCTAGGTGTTTTACTTGAGATTAATGATTTTATCACTTGAGCCACAGTTTTACTTCTGGCTTTTTGTGGTTAATTTTAGATGAAGGTCTTAAAGACTACTGTCTAGACTGGTTTAGAACTACCATTTTCACATCTTAGTCCTGAGTAGTTAGGAGTTCCAGGTGTTAGCCACTAGCACCTGGCTAAGAACTTTTTGGAGACAGGTTGTCAGTATGTTGCCAAGGGTGGTGTCAAACTTAATTCAACATTAGGGTGAACAAATGCAATATTGGTACACACTAGACACTATGTTGAAAATGAATTATATAATTTGTGGAGATTGGAGGGAAAAACTGGGCAAGAGCAAGGGAAAGGATGACATTGTCTAAAAGGAAATGTGCTTGTTACCTGACTTATGTAACTCTAACCCCTCTGTGTATCATCTTTATAATAACAATTTTTTTAAAAAGGAGAAAAATAATAAAAAAGAATTCATTCTTAAGTTATATTGCTTTTTTTTCTTTATTGAGGCTTGAACTCAGAGATTGGCTACAACCTTTAGTTTTTTTACTTAAGGCTGGTGCTCTATCACTGGAGCCACAGCTATATTTCCAGATTTTTTTATGGTGGTTAATTTTTGATAAGAGTGTCATGGACTTTATGATAGGCTGGCTTTGAACTGTGATCCTCAGATTTGAGCCTCCTATATAGCTAGAATTATTGTCCCAAGCCATAGTGACCTGGTAAAATCTTTATTTGGGGTAGGGTCAGTACCAAGGCTTGAACTCAGATCCTCCCACTGTTGATTGGTTTTCCTACTCAAGACAGGCTTCTACAACTTGAGTCGCAGCTCCACTTCCAGTTGCATGTTTTTCTCATGGCAATTATTTATTTTGAAATATAGTGAACAAACCTGGATTTTGTTGAAAACAATTAAAATCTCAGGAAAAGGCACTGTTGTGAGATATACTGTATACTCAAGGGTGTAAAGAACAAATTTTGTACCCAACCAGCCAGTTGTATCTGGTTTGTTTTTGCTTCTATCCCCCAGTTAGCACTTGTGACTTCTTATTCCTTATTAACTTCCCTTGGGCTGTGATAAACTGAGCGAGGCTGAGTGTCTGATGATTTACATGAGCAAGAGCTGGCTCAGGGTAGGAAATCTGTTGGCAGAATCATTTTCCTTTGTGATAAACTATAAGAGATGTTTAGATCATTCCAGCTTAGTGCTGCTTTAGTACTGGTGTACTCACTCATCATATACAATACCAAAAGCCTATTAGAAGACAAACTCATAGGTAGGCATTCAAAGATAACTTTCCTCCTCTCTTCCAATATTGCTTTCAATTATTTTGAGATATGAAATCCTATTTTTCTTTAATATTTTAGAATTTTTCTATCAGTATATCCAGTTGTAAAAATCTTTGCAATGAGGTATATTCAAAAATAGAAACTTGGCAAGTGCTGGTGGCTCATAGTTTGTTTTCTGTTTTTTTTTTGGGGGGGGTCTGGTCATGGGCCTGAACTCTGGGCCTGGGTGCTGTCCCTCAGCTCTTCAGCTCAAGGCTAGTGCTCTACCACTTGAGCCCTAGCACTACTTCGGGCTTTTTTCTTTTTGCTTATGTGGTGCTGAGGAAGCGAACCCAGGGCCTCTGGCATGCAAGGCAAGCGCTCTACCACTGAGCCACCTTCCCAGCCCCTGGCTCATAGTTTTTTGATCCTAGCCACTCAGGAGGCTGAGATCTGAGGATCACATTCCATGACAGGTTGCACTGACAAATCTGTGAAACTCTTATCTCCAATTAACCAAAAATGCCAGTAGTGGAAGGGTGCTGTCCTTGAGTGAAAAAGCTAAAGGATAGTGCCCAGGTCCTGAATTCAAACCCCATGCAAGTCACAACTTCACAATCATAGAGTGTTTTATTTTGGACAATGCATTATATAGCACTCAATTGTACACTTGAAATGGTGAATTTGATGGATTAAATCTCAAGAAATAATTAAAAAAATGTAATTTAGTAATTTACCCTTGGTGACCCTTAACCTTGCACTTTCTTCTCCTCTATTCTCCTTTCCTGTCCTCCCTCAGTACCCATACCCACTCTCCCTCCAGGTGTCCTTTGAGTTGACTCTGCAGTTGGGCACAGGCCCACTGTACATTCGTGAATGTTGGGCTCTCTCTCTCTCTCTCTCTCTGGCTGGGAATGGACACTGGGAACAGATTTTTCTTGCTCTCCTTTGCTGGGAATGGTTGGGGAAGGCAGCACCTGGTACTATGAGCGGCACAGGATGTAGCTTCTCATGTTTTATTTGCTCCCCTTCACATGTTTGATCGTGTCCACCCAAACGCTTCAGATTCTCTGATCAGAAAGCCAGCTGGGACACTTGGGAGTAGTTGAAATCTATGAAGATTACAGAGATTCAGGCTTCCAAGGGAGGCCTTGAACCTTTTCATGTGATCCCAGCCTACTGCACAACCTCACTAGCTAAGTAGAATGGTGATTCTGACCTTGTGTGTTTGAAAGCTGATAGTAGTAGCACATTTTGCTGCTGTGTGCATGTATATTAAGTAAATAGGTGGTCATTGATGGTCAGGCATTTCTGGATGGACTTCATGCTGCTTCATTTCTCTCTGGGGTTAGGCCCCAGGTTAGCTGCTGCCTGCAAGGTAACTGTGGCCCCTTGCCTCTTCTATGGTACTGAATTAGTTATTCACCTTCCCATTTCTAGTTGTAGATAAAAAATATCTATTGGACTGTGTGTACTGAATCTTGTTATTTTTCTTTTCTTATTATTAATGTTTTTTTATTGTGAAAACACTGTAAAGAAGGGTTACAATTACATGAGCAAGATAATGAGTACATTTCTTAGCAAGCATTGTTACCTCCTCCTTTGTTTCCCCTTCCCATCCCTGCCCTCCCATCCCACCCCACCCCTCAAAGTTGTAAAGTTCGTTTTTTGACATAACATCTTATACATCTCATTGTTGCAATGGGTCTACCTGTATCCCTATTTAAACAATTTGCTTTTTCCCTCCCCCTCCGCAAATTATACCAGTATCAAATACAGTGAAAACAGGAGTTATCCCGTGAGGAAGGGTTTGCTTTTCTTGTATGTGTGATGTGTGCCAGTACTGAGGCTAGACCAGAGGTCTAGGCTGTTTTCATACGGTAATCATCAGCTTTCCACCTCCTGAGAAAGTAAAACTAGGTTTGAACCATCAGTACACAAGAAACTTTGTTCAGGAAGTTTGGGGGTTGGCACTCAGGCCCTCACACTATTATTGGCTTTTTTTTCCCATCTGAATGTTGATGTTCCACCACTTGAGCTACAGCTCCACTTTTAATCACAAGTTTTTCTCTCGGTGATTATTTACCTTGAAGCATTGTGAACCTGCACCGATAAATTTTGTTGAAAAATGTTTTTTTTTTTTTTGGGTCCAGTCCTGGGGCCTGAACTCTGGGCCTGGGCACTGTCCCTCAGCTCTTCAGCTCAAGGCTAGTGCTCTACCACTTGAGCCCCAGCGCCACTTCCGGCTTTTTTCTTTTTGCTTATGTGGTACTGAGGAATCAAACCCAGGGCCTCATGCATGCAAGGCAAGAACTTTACCACTGAGCCACCTTCCAAGCCCTGAAAAATGTTTTTAAAAAAGCACAATAAAAGATATTGTAGTGACTTACACTGTGTAACCAACAAGAGGAAGAAATGTTTACATCTGGCCCAGCTGTAAGTATTGCCCTTGTTTTTCATTACCTGGTTTGTGCTTCTGTGACTTTTCTTCTTAATTCTCACTTCTCTTGGGCTGTGATGCATTAAGTGAGTCTGAGTTACTATTAATTTGTCTGAGCACTGAGCTGCCTAGTTTGAGGAAATCTGTGGATAGAAACCTGTTTCTTTGTTGAAAGCTTTTAAAGATGCTTAGACTATTCTAACTTTTTTTAGTGCAGAAATATAA